TTGGTATACAGTTGACCAAACTGCTTTGCAGATTTAGAGTCCATGACTTAGCTAAGCGATCCCCACCGAGGGGAAGCCTGGTTCCCCTTGGTGACTCTGGCCTTGAACCACCCACACTGGAAAGAGGGCAGAAGAGCTGAGAGGGGAGGTGATGTCCAGTTATAAGGTCAGCAGTGATGAGGACAGGGTCTTTCCAGTGAGGATCATTTGTCACAAGGGCCACTAGATTGGAAGATGAACTGTTTCATCACAAGAACGTGATCTCCTTGAGCAACTCTGGCTGGGGCCAAGAGTCACGGACATGTGGGCTTCCTGTTCTGCGTGGGGGTCGAAGGTGCGTGGTGCTTCAAGATCACCGGCATCAGGGTACATTCCTCCCCGCAAGGGAGTGAGCCAGGTCCTCCCGACTCCAGGTCCTCCGGGTGGAGAAGGATAAGTGAATTTCTAGACGCTCACTGCTGGCAATCAGATCTGAAGTCGGCTGTGTCTGAAGCTGTTCTGCCCTTGAAGTATCCCTTCGGTCGGTAACTATTTGTTCATTCAGCTCATATTTGTAAGGACTCACCATCTGCCAGGCGCTTTTCTGGGAGCCAATAGACGTCAATGACCTGAACAGGTAAAGACCTCTGCCCCGTGGGAGCCTGGATTTCGGGTCTCTCTGGGAAAGGGGGCTGGTGAGGGACTCTGGAAAGCCCAGCACGGGTTTGCACCCCTCATGTCTCATCCACACCAGCACCAACTGAAGGAGGGCTTTGCCGCTGGCGACTTGGGTGCTGAGGCCCAGAAGCTTCTCTGCTCCCTGTCTAGGCTCATCCCTGGGTTAGGGTGGGAGTGGGTATTCATCCTTGGGCTCCAAGGAGCTGGGAAGGAGCGGGACTTCTAGGCGGCCCTGGAGCACTTCCCGGGCAATATTTGTTGATGTCATTTTCTCCTAATTAGACCTCTTTTAAAAACAAAAATGTTTGTTATGTGAAAAACAGGGACCTCTGCAGGAGGATGGGTGGTCCATCCTAGGTAATGATGGGGGCTCAAGTCAAGTGAAGCATGACCCCTCCTTTATGCTCCTCCATCTGCCAAAAGTAACAAGTGTGTTTCCTCTGTGAGGATTAGAATTTGCTGGAAAACTGGATACTCCCAACTCCAGAGAGTGTCAGTTAAGGCTCATTCCTTCCCGGGCTGGTCTCATCTGGTCCTCCCTAACATGCAGACAAGCTCTGCCTCCACCTTTCTCTTGTCAGAGGTGCACCTGCGCTTGTCTGTAGTCGGGAGAGCCTGGGCTGGGGTCAGAGAGCTGGGTACCGGGCCCTGCAGTGCTGCCAGTAAGCCGGGTGTGGTGTGCTGTGGACAGGTCAGCTCGTACTTCTGGACCGGAGCGTCCTCCCCGACGTCCTTTCTCTGCAGTCCTAACGGCCACAGTGTTAAGCATGAGGTACATACAGGCAGGCACGTGGCTCCTGCCCTCGGGCCGTCAACACGTGCACACACTCACACCCA